GGGAGGCACCGAGGGGATCGATCGGTCCGTTTTCATTCATTCATTCCATCTTTCTACGTGTGTATGTATTGTGTTATGTGTCTGCCATCCGTGTGTTGCATGTGTGTACGTGTCTGTGGATGTGTGGATGTGTATATGTACTTAAGTACGCAATCATCACCGATCGGCCTGTCTGTCTGTCTGTCTAAGTAAAGCATGGATGTCATGTCACTCACCTGACATGGGAATGAGCCAATGAATGAATGAATGGACACTCTGTGAAGCCGTTCACAGGTCTGTCTGATGTTTGTCGTGCTTGTTTTACCGTCGACTCGATCTTGCGTACATACGCGCCCATCGACTGGATGAGCGTGTTGTGCCCTGGCTTGCTTGCTTGCGTGATGGCCGTGCATGCTGGTCTGGTGTGGTGTGTGGTGGGGTGGCTGCTGGCCGGAGACCACAGAGCGTCTCCAACACATGGCTAGCGGCCGGTGTTTCCTGCCTCCCTGCCTGGACGGCCACAAGCGGGCACACACTCGCTCAGCCACTCACTGTCTCGCTTGCTATCTCGCTCACACTGACCTCTGAACGACTGCCTGCCTGCCTTTTCTGCGAGATGTCGATGGACAGAGAGAGAGGTACGTACAGGATGCGATGCCTGTTTGCGTAGTTGGTTGTGCCAAGTACGACGTACACAGCACCTACAGCCTTTACGTCACACCTAATCAATCAGGGAGGGAGGGAGGGAGGGAGGGAGGGGGGCAGACAAGCTGTATGTATGGATGGGGCTGTGTGTTTGCCGGGCTGCCTAGCTGGCTGTGTGTGTGTGTGTCTGGCTGGCGGGTTATTTCTATTCAATCATTCCCTGCCGTTGGTTGGTTGGATGGGTGGATGTGTGGGTGGAGCGGCGGTTGAAGGGGATGATCTGTACACTACTGCTGCCGCTGGTGTTGGTGTTGATGCGGTGAATGCTGCACACACACACGGGGATTCTCGTTCCACACTGACTGACTGTACGGAGCGGGCAGACAGACAGACCCACCAACACACCGACCCATTCGTCCATCCATCCATTCACACGCCCGTCCTTGCAGCCACGAAAGCACCAGCCATTTCTTTGTATGTGTGTGTGCGTTCATGTGTGTATATCCCATCACCTTACATCGTTTGTCAAGTCGGTATCGACAGACTCGTTCTCTGACTTCCGTCTTTCACTCTTTCCCGTGTCTTGAGAGGCTGCGCTCTTGTCTGCCGGCGGCCTCGCTGCCTCCCTCCACCAGGAGCTTTTCACCGAGCTTTTTACCTTTACACTCACTCTGTCTAACCTAGCGCTGCTTTCACCACCTGCCTGATGGATCCGTGTGTACGCGTGTGCGTGTGAGTGGTCGATTTGCTGAATTGGCTTGTCGTCGGGAACCAAATCACAGACGAGAGACTTGCAAGCAAGGCAGTGGGCATGCCCATGAATGTGGGTGCAGTGTGCGCAAGGTTAGCATGAGACCCCACGCGCGGCAAGCAACCATGCGTCCTTTCTTTTTGCCGACATGTGCATCCAGAGCTGGCCGCATCACAGACAGGACAGCACAGCGCAGCAAAGCACAGCATCGCCCACGCATCCGACCGACACATGATTCCCACCATCCGCGTGTACGCCTCCTGAGATCTTTCTTTCCCTTACCTCACTCACTGTGTGTCAGTCAGTCTCCCTGCTGCTCACTCACTCCTGGGGCCGGGGCTGGTTGGCTGGCTGGCTGGCTGGCTTTCTTTTCGGGGCGGCTGTAGGTATGTATGTATGCAATATGTACAGCTGGGAAGTGTACATACGCATACGTACATACGTACATATGTCTATCACTCACTCGCTCACTCACTCACTCACTTGCTGTCTGTCTGTCCGTGTGTGTGTGTGTGTGTGATCGATGTCGATAGCCAGCTGAGCTCGAGGGGGTCGGTCGTCTGTTTGCCTAGTCTCATGCGATGCGGCAGAGAGGAGTGGAGAGAGGGAGGGAGGGAGGGAGGGAGGACGGATGGACGGACGGGTGTTTTCTTGCTGTGTGGTTGTTGCCTTCTTGGGTCGGTCGGTGGTCACCTTGGCTGGCTGGCTGGCTGGTTGTTCATTTCCCCTGCATCCACCCATGTACGCAAGATTGTGGGCTACATCGATCGATCGATCACCGCCTATTTTTGGACTGGCAGGATAGCGCCATGGCTGGGCGGACGGACAGACAAATTGACGGATGGGCGGACGGTTGGCCGGGAGGGTGGAGAGAGACGCTGACAGACAGACAGACATCAAAGGACCAAAGGTCGGCCGATGGATTGACTGAAGAAAATTCACGGCGGAGTTACATGTTCATACGAAGACTACACTTACTAGACTGACTTGCTAACTCACTGAGTGATCCCACCCCACCCACTTGCAGCCAGCGAGTGTGTCTGCGTGTGAGATGCAGCACAGCACCAACGAGTGAGCAGCACAGCGCGCACACACAACCACCAGTCAGAGTACCTGACGTGAGTGACTTGACTGACATGCACCCACTGCTTAGCTACCAGGCAGACAGAGTGACCGAGGCCATTTGTGTGTGAGCCTCCGACCCCCTTGTCTCCTTGTTTGATCCCCAATACAATAAAGGCAGTGCACTGATTGCCCGTTGCTTTTTGCCACCTGCCCAGCTCAGCTCAGCTCAGCCAGGCCCCGCAAACACGGAGGCTATGCATGCATACATACATATGTACACACATACATACACACATACGTACGTACATGCGTTCGTACATATATCCGTACATACGTGGGTAGACAGACCACGGTAAGGTAGGTATGTATTTACGTGCTTTCTTTCCCTCGCTCATTCATTGTCACTTCACCGCCCGGCCCCGCCATTTCCTCCCCGCTGGCCCACCGACAGATGAGGGAACAACCGCTCACCATTGTCGCTGCTGGGCACATGGGGAGAGATTGTCGCTGCTGTGTGCATTCGTGTATGTGTGTATGTATACAGTCGTGGCTGCCTGTCTGTCTATCTGGGTGTCTGTGTGTTCTCTGGATTGGCATCCTAACGCTAATGTGTTGTGTGCTCTCTGGTATGGCTGACTGGATGCATGAATGCATGGATGGCTGCATGGATGGACGGTCCACCACACCACCCACTTTCTCTCACTCTCTGGCACCCTCACTTGCTTTCAATGCGTGTACTGTACCGTACGGGTATGCATTCATGTGTCCATGTGTGTGTGCGTATGCAGGAGATCGATCTGGGTATGTATCTATCTATCCGTGTTTGCTTTTAAGGACGGACGGACGGACGGACGGACGGAATTCGATCGAGCTCAGCTCGACCCAGGTGCTGCTGCGGGGGAAGGAGTGGCATGTCATGTCGTAGTAGATATCGTCTGAGGAACAGTCGGCTGGCAGGACTGTGACTCAAAGGATGTCTGCCGCACACGACATCGTCATTCCTTTCCATCCCCCCTCACAAGGCAGACACACCGACGGGTCCATCTCGATGTCTCCAAATGAGATGCGCGTGTGGTGTTTTGTCGCCTTTTGACGTGTCTGGGTAGGTCGGTGCGTGTGTACGGTACGTACGGATGTGTGTCTCTGCGTGCATGCCCCTCCCTGTCTTCATGATAATTTGTTGAATCTCGATCCGATCGATGGGCTGACAGACGGACGGACAGACAGGTCCCTCCCGTGCAGCTGGGCCTTTTTCCTCCCTCTCTCCCTCCCTCACTCACCTCTGATGTGATGTCTCCCCGACCCTTCCCCCCTCACTCACTCTCGGTGAATGAACGATCTTAGTGATCGGCCTCGATGGATGGACCGTCATAAATGGATGGATGGATTGGATGGCCCCTAGTTTCCAACCAGGCTAGGAGGCCCGTGCAACCGTAGGTACACTCGCTCACTCACTCACTCACTCGTCTGACTGACTAGCAATTCGAAGGTGTACATGCGATGGATGGATGGATGGATGCGTGATGGCGCCCGCCGTCGTGTTTGTGTTCTCTGGCCCATACGCTCGCTTAAGTGACTGAAGCGACACGCCAGAGACGCGACTCGATGGGGCATGCCCCTGGCTTAGTGGACCTAGTGGATGCATGACTGACTGACTGACTGAGTGAGTAGGTGAGTGACTGAGTGACTAACTGAGTGAGACGGGGGAAGGGATGCTGCTGAGTGCAGTGCAGGAGGTCAGACAGACGCCCACTCTTCGTCGATCGATCTACAGTCGTTGACCTTTTTCCTTGTTGTGTAGCGAGGGCGGGGAGGGAGGGAGGGAGGGAGGAATGGGGAGCGGCTGAGCTGACAAGATATGCCGGGCTGGCATGGCATGGCATGGTGATGTGATGTGATGAGTGTACAGTATGGATGTCTTGTTATCCATCCATCCATCCCATCAGTGTGTGCATGGCACGAACGGCCCTACTGTCTCTTTTTCGCGCCACCGGCAGGCAGCAGTGGATGCGTAGAGTGAGGGGAGGTGATGGTAAGGGCGCGTGTGTGTTTGGTTTGTGGCGCAGACAGCCAAAGGTATGCTGGAGAGTCGACCGTGCTGGGGTGATCAGGGGCAGGAGGGCGTGGCCTTGTGGTTGGTGGTCGCGGGCGAAGCATGTACTTTAAAGGCACATGCACACATGGTGGTCAATGGATGGATGGATGGATGGCACATGGGGAGCGATGATGAGAGAGGAGAGGGGCTCTTCCTGGCACTCCCTCACGGACATGTAGACAGACAGACAGACAGAGAGCGATCTGTAGCGATGTCTGCCTGCCGTAGGTTGCAAGCGCCAGAAAGACCCTCACAAGTTGTGTTGTCTTCCTTCCCTTGGTACGCACGTACACACAGACAGACCCATTTGACTGTGTACGCGACCGATCTTTTGTCGTCGGTCGAAATGCTGCCCGCCCGCCCAGCTGTCTTTTGTCAATTCACTCGCGCGGCTCGTCGCTGGCTACGCGGCTCCCCTCTCTCACTCACATCCACTGACCCACTGGCTCATCCACATAATCGTTTGAGCTCTCTGGCCAAGAGCGATCTCTGACATGAGTGTTTGCTCGTCGGACACACACACACACACACACACACACATCCATCCATCCACACACACACACAACATGCCACGCCATTCCATGCCATTCCATGCCCTGAGATGCCTGCCTGACTACGTACGTTACTTACGTGTGTATGCCACACCTACGACGTGAAGACGCGTGCAATGGAATGCAGATCGATGCTGTTTATTTATGTACGTACGTACGGTGTTTGTTGTGTGTGTGGTGTTGTTGCTGCTTGCCCTCGTGCGCTGTGTTGTGTTGTGCGTCCGGTGCGGGCGGTGCGTACGCAAGGTAGGTTTAGGTAGGTTGTTGCTCTCTGAGGGCTCAGTCTGTCTGTCTGTCTCCTCAGTCAGTCAGATCTCTGCTCCCCTCCCTCGATCGGATCGATGGCCTGTGTACACACACGCACATCCATGTCTGTCTGTCTGTCTGTGCATACATACGCCACGCCCTTTTTAACCTAACCGGTCCCTTGTCTGCTCATATATGTCACTGACTGACTGACATCACTGACAGACACAGCTGTCCGTGCCGTGCCTCGTGTGCAGTGTGCTGGCTGCCGGCCCGCCGTGTGTGGTGCGTGCGTTTCTTGTGCCCTGGCTTCCTTGTTGCGTACGTGTGATTGCGTGTGTGTGGATGGATGGATGGATGTACATGGATACAAGCAAGACCTCTCGTGTGTGCCTTCGTTGTGTGTCATTCAAGTATTTTTTCATTCAATCAGCGCCCAGCGATTACAAAACGAACACACCGGCACAAATCCCATGCCATGCAAGCGGGTAGAAGGGAGCACTCACACATGATGTCCACAAAGCACATCACCCACCGCTACACACAGTTGGCTGTTAGCAAGGTGGAGACGCGACGAAGGGGTGAGACATCATCTGGGGAAACCACGGCATCGTTCCCTGTGGCATTACCTACACAACCACCCAGGCAAACGACCAGACAAACACAGCTCACATCACCGAAGGCCGGATCGATGATCTGTCTGTCCCCGCTTGCCACTTGATGTCCGTCCACGGGCAGATGTTGAGGGGCGCCAGCAACAGAAAAGACAATCTGCAGCCAGCAAGCCGGTCAAAAGACGAAAAACAGAAGTGCATGCGCTTGCTTACATGCATCTCCAGTGGATGCTGTGGCTGCATCGCCCAGCCCTGCTGAGCCTGCTCTACTGGTGTGGTATGCGGGGAGTAGCATGGGGGCTTCGTCGCTGCCAGAAGGGAAAGAACAAATGCACATGCATATGTACTGGCTGGCCACGGCAAGTACAGTATAGGGTCCTGTCTGTGTCCCTACCTGCAGTGTTCTGAGGGCCATTCCCTGCATGCCATCCCTGTGTGTGAAGCGATGTCCTCCCAGGCCACCTCTGCAGCTGAACAAAGAGACAATTAATGCTTTGGCGGACATAGAAGATGGTAAGTATCACCGATGTGTACACACACCTGATGGTGCTCAGCATGGCACTCATTCGTCATCGGCCGGCCAACCCCGCCACTCAAGGGCAAGGGGGGTATCCCATAGTCCTGAATGAATGAGTTCCAGGAGACACTCGTGCACAAATGCATGTACCTTGCTTACCCTCTGTTGCGCTTCCTGAGCAGCCTGCTCGTCGACGAAGCGCGTCACCTCTTCCACATTGTGCCCCCGGTTGGCTGTCTTGGTGGCCACCTGTGGAGACACAACATGGAAACAAGCGGCTGGCGGTCTCCTTCTCCCAATCGATCGGACGGAGTGTACCCACAAGGCCTCTCTGCTTTGTACCTTCAGGCCTTGCTGCTGCGTGTTCCCTGTGGCCTTGTCCATCTCGCTGTCTTTGTTGTGCATGTCCTGCTGCAGCACAGCAGGTGGCCGCAGAGACACACGGGGACCAAACGTTTGCTTGACTGTGGCCCCCTCCATGTGCCGACTGTCTTTCGGCGGTTGTCAACTTCACGTGTCTTGTCCCTGTCCTGGAGTTCCTGCGGGCAACAAACAGTAGAATGGATGGATGGATAGATGGCTGGATGGCTTGTGTAGTCCTTGAATGTCCGTACTTACAATGATCAGTGCATGGAGGCACTTGATGTGGCCCTCTTGCTCTTTGACTTGCTGCTGCAAGTCCTGCCAGAGGCGGACAGACATGCAGACAGTTAATCCCTCGATGGTCGATAAGGATGGCTTACATACCGATATCATGGCCTCCTGGGCCTGGTGCTTGGCTCTGCTCTCACGGGCCTCCTTCTCGCACTGTCGCAGGCGGAAAAACTTAGATAACAGACATACACACGGACACAAACAAACACAAACAGCCATATGCATGATCCTGCGGCCAAGATCTGTGGCCGGCATGATTGATTGATTACCAGGCGACGCATGCGTGTCTGCGTGTCTGCAGACTCTGGCTGGGGGAGCTGTTGCTGTTGCTGCTGCTGCTGCTGTAGCGGCTGAAGGCACACCGAGAAACACTGGAGGTCATGTGCATGTGGGCCTCTTTCGGGCCTCAGCGTCTCACTGCCAAATAGCTCACTGCAGTGATGCTGTCTTGAAGAGTCCTTTGTTGTGTCCGCGGTCTCTGCATCAAGGAGACGCCAGACAGGGCCCAGGTCGACATAGATAGACAGTGGAGAGTATTCCTCTCTGACGCTCTGCCTTGCCCGACTTTCTTCTTGCTTCCTCTTACCTGATCATTCACCCGGTGCGCCAGCCTGACGGTAGGCGGGGGTGTGGGGGACCCGGTGACGTGCCGACCAGCACCACGGGAGATGTGGCTGAGCGGGGCTCTTGCCGCCGCGCGCGAGAACATCTTGCAGATGTCCGCTCACTGACAGTTCGGCGCGTGTGCGCTGCACGAGTTCTCGTGATCAGTGGGGTCTTTGCTGTTCTGGTAGAGACGAATAGGGTTCCCTCAGAGACTGCAATGTGGAAAGCTCAGCTCGTTTGATGTTGCCGGTCCGATCGAAACGCATGCATGCATCACCGTCTGATTGATAGTAGAACCCGCAATTGATAATTTAGATATGAGGTCTGGTCACGATGCACATATATACGGATAAACCACGTGCACGCCCATGCGTATTTTGGGCAGACGGCAGCAGGGTCAATCACATGCATGGCATGCCTGTAGGCATCACACACTCACACACGCGCCAACCAACGCCGGGCGGCACGCACAAAGTCGGCGTACCCGTGTTGTGCTTCCCCCCACCCACCCACCCACCCACCCACACATGGACACATACACCGGCCACACGTGCAATGGGTGTGTACATAAGCAATAATGCAATAATGGCCATACATACACATGACGCCACATGCCACACGTCTCGGAAAAAACATGAATCGACCAAGGTCACAAACCATAGATAGAATGGGTGGGTGGGTGGGTGGGTGTCTCTGTCTGTGTGTAGGAGTTCGTGTCGTGTCTAGTGTGTGACTGTGCAGCATACGCCGGTCCACTGCAGCACTATCACCGTGGTGCTCACATAGCCAACCTGACCACACGCAGACAGACAGACAGACAGACTTGTGTGGCATGGCATGGCTGGCATCTGTGGAGCATGGCATGGCTGGCGTGTGGAGACAGACGCGTGTGTAGTGTACCATGGCGAATGCGGCGAGTGCGATGATGATGGTCCAGTACAGCCAGGGCGGATGCACATGATAGAACTCCTGCACCCATACGCAGATTGGATCGTTGGATGTCTGCCCGTGGCCTGCCTCGCTGCTCGCTCACCTGATAGTAGACAATGGCTGGGAAGGAGACCATAAACGAGGTCGCGAAAATCCCACCAACGACACCTATGATGTCAGCCACCTGCACACACCACACACACAGAGAGACCTATTCATTGTGAGCCTGCAGGCGCTGCGTGTGTACCCTGCTGGTGAGCAGCGCCACTACATAGGACGACAGCACACAGATGCTCACAACAAACACACGAAACCATGTACGATCAAACACAGCTGCAGACACACACACACACACACACACAGAGTGAGCGCATTGATTGATCGGTTCCCACCACCCAGCCATTCTCTGTACTCTTCCTCCCTTAGACATACACGTTGGCACTTCCGGGATGGATGTCACAGAGGAGGATTGCGTGATGGTGGGCTGCTCGACATCCAGGTGTGGCGGCCGCAAGCCCGATGACACCACCACGGGCACCAGGGGGGCGCTGTAGCTGCCATTGTGGTTGCTGGTGGTGCTGGTGTTGGGGTTGGCCGACGCAGCGGTGGCAGGGACCGGCATGGGCGAGGTCCTGTCACGGGCAATGGGGTAGGAGGACGACACGCCATCCATCTCGCTGTCGCCCGACACGTGCAACGTCTGCAACACGGTCATCCATCCCATGCATGGGTGCATGTGGATGCATCCAGTGCAGCTGGCCTGATCTGATCAGGCCTGACCGACTCTCACCATGGCTATCCTCTTGTTCTTGTTGTTCTCTTCGCCATCCATCGACTCCAAGCCATTTTCCCTCTCCCTCTCGCCGTTGGACGAGACGCTGCTCGGCGATTCCACGCCACTCCTGCCCCACAAGTGCCTGGCCAGGCTGACGCACGACTTGGCGGCCGCAAAGACGTTGATAGGGACAGCCACGACCATGCTGATGGAGAGGAGGATGCGGCAGAGGAAGAAGGCCGGGTCGGTGGCGCTGTAGTTGGTGGTAAAGTTCTGACGGGTCAAACCCAGCCAGCTCAGGTAGCCAACGAACGCTGAAGCACAAATAAATAAATGGATGGATGGATGGATCCACCACACACCATCCCATCCAGCGGCAAAATGAACACAATGAATGGCTGTGGTTGGTTGGCTGTCTTGGACTACTCTTGGCGTACCCAGAGGGGCGTAGAGGGCGAACTCGATCAAGCAGGCCGTGACGCCAAGCTGACACAACGCAAGGCTCGTCCATCCGGGGCGGCGGTGGGTGCGGCAGGTGTGTCGTGTCATGGTGCCTACCTTGAAACATGCGAGCAGTGAGGTGTTTGGCTCCCTCTCGAAGATCTCCTCAGCTACAGGCACCACATTCACATGCTGAGCACAACAACCAGACACAGACAAGGGAAAAGCGTGCAGCACAGGAGGACAGCACACGTCTGTTCCCGCTGCCCCTCCCGCTCCCCGACTCACGGCCATATAAGCGAAGAGGAATATGTTGACTGCCTTGGGCGAGTTCCAGCTGAGAGAAAAGGCCTCTGGCCGCATGCCCGTCTTGAAGGCCTCGTGGATGAGGTGGGGCGCCTGCACTATCACCACAATCGACGTTATGATGATGCTGAATATGGGCAGGAGAGCGATATGCCGCAACGCAGATAACCTCTTCACACAAGACAGTGGCCATATCAGTATCTGACCGGACGACGAACACACACGTGCATCATTTTCCTATTCTCTCTTTCTGCTCTCGTGTGTTATGTGTGTATGTTTCCACCAACCAACCAGGCTGAGAGTGAGCAGCAGCGTCCTGTCCCTGAATATCTCAGGGCAGGGGATGGCCTCGAGTATGCGTGGCGTGAAGTCGCCGAGGAACACGAAGTAGCTGATGCAGCACCCGATGACGTAAAAGACGATAATCCCGTCAGTGACCCTCTCCCATCGGTGGCTGTTCATGGCCTTGCCCATCATCTTGCTGTACGTGAGGGAACCCGTCACTCGGATCGCACCCTACACACACACCACCACCAGCACACAATACACATCCATCCCGTGCTCTAGATCTACCTACCATGAGAATGAATATGGTCAGGCTGGCCACCGCGCCACTCACGACGAGCAGCACACTCCCCAGCACCCACCCCAGCTGACTGAATGCGTACGGCAGCGTCAACACACCCGTCCCCAGCGCCGAGCACACCAGGGTGAACACGGAACCCTTGAGCGTCCCTGCCTCGAAGTGCAAAGCACGCTGAATGAGTGACAAGTGCATACAACCATCCATCCCAATGCATTCAATGCGATTTGTAATCCGCCCTCCCTGCTTGGTTAGTGCTCTTCTCTGGCTGCAGCTGCAGCATACATACTTGCATGAAAGATGGGCCTGACACACACACGATTGATTCACGCATTCATCCAGACATGATTGTGTTTCTCCTCTCTGTTGTGGTACCATGCTGAGGAAGAGGCTCGTGATGGTGGTGATGCACATGCAGTGGGTGGCCTTCTGGGTAATGCTGGGCTGCCTGCGGGTGGTCTGAGGGCGCGAGAAGCGGCTGCCGCATCTGCTGGCGAAGCCGAGCGGACTCATCGTCCGCCATCGCTGATACGAGCCTCGCGAGTCAAGAGCAGAGCCTTCAAGCGTTCTGTGGTCTGCACGCTTAGCTGCCAGCGTATCTCTCAGCTCGCATTCATGTTTGCTTCCCTGTTGAGGCGACGACAACCATCTCCACGATGCGCTCAGTGGCCCACAAGTCGCTTCCAACACAACCATGCCGGCGGCGCGTGTCTACGGCGTGTCGGTTCATGTCATCAACGTCAGCCGGGTCTCAGCCATCGGATGACGCTGGTCCAGCACCACAGCGGCACCACAAGGGCGGTCAGCAGGCCAAGCATTACAAGCCGCCCAAGCCTGGCGACGGCATGCGGCAGCTTCGGCGGCTCCGGCCGAGAGAGGACCTGGAGAGGGCGGGCGATGAGAAAAGACCACATCGGTTCGGCAACCAGATCGGCGGCATTGCCAACCGCGAGGCTGCGTCGGGGCACGTCGACAAGCCCCTGTGGGAGGCCATCCGATCAGAGCTGTACGAGCATCTGCCGTCCACCTCGCCACAGGGCATCTCGCTGGTGCTCAATGCCATGGCGCGGCTAGGGATGAAGGACGAGGGCCTGTTCGGCATGATAGGGGAGCGTCTGAATGCCGACTGGCTGATGAACTTCAACGTGCAGGACTTGGCTGTTATGGTGAATGCCTATGGCCGGCTGCGGCTGAGGAACGAGGGGCTGTTTGAGCGGGTGGCGGCCGAGCTGCGCTGGAAGATACCAGAGGGAAACCCTAAGGTGGGTGCAGGATGGATCCATGGCACCATGTGAGATCACTTGCAATGTTGTCTGTCTGTCTGTCTGTCACTCATTCATTCGTCGATTGTCAGGAGCTGGTGTCCATTGCGCTCGCCTACGTCCGTCTGGGTGCCTTCGACGACGCCCTCTTTCTCCACCTTGCTAAGGAGGTCCTCCACCGCCTTGACAAACCACCCTCCACTGACGACCCTTTGCTCCAGTTCGCCACACGCGACTTCGCCAACCTGGCACACGCATTCGCCAAGCTGCCGTCGGTCGGCAGGCTCGACTGGGTGGTGGCGAGAGATGAGCTAGAGGGGCTGATGGGAAATGTGGACGACAGCAGTGTTCGGCTGCTGCTGCGTGTGGCTGTCGAGTTGGAAGGTCGTGTTGACGAGATGAATGACATGGACATGAGCAACGCGGCGTATGCGTATGGGAGGATAAAGCTGTGGTACGTCCCGCTGTTTGAGGCCATGGCGGGGAGGGTGCTGGGACTCGCGGACCAGCTCAAGCCGCCACAAGGGGCGACATTGGTAAGGGAGGGCCGGAGAAAGGGAGGGAGGGACCGATAAAAGCACATGGGAAGGAAGTACGTTTCATGCAGGTATACGCGTTTGGCCGGCTGCCCGCCCCCCACACGCGTCCCGATGTCGTAAGCAAGCTGACCGACTCCCTCCTGGCGCGACACAGCCACCCTATGAAGATACAGACTGAGCAGATGAGCATGATCCTTTGCGGGTATGCCGCCGCAGCAGCCTCCTCCTCACCGGAGCCCCTCCCCCCCTCCCCTCACTTGCTGCTGGTGCTGCTGTCGTCCTTCCCCCCTGAGAGCTTCAGCCTGTGGACACTCATAACCCTTCTCAACGCAGCCTCATTCGCCATCCGGGCGCTGCGGGATACGGGCAATCCCAGCGGTGTGGACAAAGAGTGGGTTGTCTACACGGAGGCCGTGATGGTGCACTGCGAGAGGGCGGAGGCCTCACTGTCGTTGCTAGACTGTGTGGAGGGGTTCGAGGCTGCGTGTCGGCTCAAGGCCATGGGCGTTGGGGAGGACCATCTGTGGAGGTTGCTGGTCGATCGACTGCGTGCCAACGTGACCAAGCTGCCCAGCTGGCAAACAGACGTACGCGAGAGAACCAACAACACACACCCATCAGAGCCTCCTGTGATGTATGTCAGGCGATCGAGCATGCGGGTCGTGGCATCGGCATGTCAGAGGAAGACATCGAGCCCCTCACGTCCCCATCCTCTCACCCGCCCCTCTCCCTGATCAACAAGACGAGACGAGTGGCACCCGTCCCTCGCAATGAGGTCGAGGATCTCGGCAAGCTGCCGGCGACGATCAATGATGCGCCGGCAGAGTCGCCATACCCGCTGCCGCCCATCATGGCCTATTCGCAGCGACAGCACAGTTTGGCTAAGAGGAAGGCCGCGACTGGCGAGAAGGGGACGCCTGTGGGTGGCAGGATGAGGGTGGGCGAGACAGCCGCTGCGGACAGGCTGCTTCAAGGCGTGGGGGCGCGGGAGGCCATCGAGGGATGGAAGGGCAAAAGGAGGAAGGCAGAGACAGAGGGGGGATGAATTATGGACTGACAGGCCGTGCAGACAGACATGTCTCCATCAGTCACCATTTAGTCAGGCAGGCAGGCAGTGAATGAATGAGACATACAGTCGGCGAGTTGCAACTGCATCATTCATTCTGCATGGCCGTGTATGCAAGTCGACTTGTTCATAAACGTGATGGAACGACAGTGCCCTTTGGCACGCAAGTCGCTGCATTCACAGACCAGCAAATACTTACTTAGCGCATGCAGATCAAACGAATGCGTATGCATCAAGCGCCGTCCTCAACGGATCCCGTCTCACTATCGGCTTCGCCGCATTTGCCCAGGTTGGGCAAAGTCAGCGAACGGTTGGCCTTGGGTCTCTCCCTGCCCTGTTTGTCTTCCTCCATCATCACATACAAATCGTCCTCGAACAACAGCTGCTGACCACCCAAGAGTGCCGACTTGATGGCAGCAATCCTCGCGGACGACAGGCGGCGGAGGCCGTTTCTCATCCTCCCGGGTCTTCTGCTGGTGTGCTTGAGAATGCTCGTGCGACTACTGTCCAGCGAGCCTCGATAGTGCATGGTTCTTGTGCGGTGTGGCTTGGGCTTGTGCAGGGCAGCGGACGGGGGGAGTGCGGCGAGTGACGCAGCCTTCTGCCCCTGCTGCTGCCTCGCCTCGCGCATCCTGACCTCCTTCGGCTGCTCAGCCAGACACACCAGAAGAGACGGCTTGCCTGCCGTCGGCTGAGGCGCCTCTTCCGCCTTGTTTGCATGCTCCTCTGGCGGCTGCTGATGGTGGCCCGAAGCAGACGCCCTCGCCTGCCGCACGGACGAGCGAGCATTTCGGCGTCTCGGCTTCGGCGTGCAGCTGGCCCTCTTGACCATCCGTGTCTGTCCTCGGGGCGTGGAGGCGTGTACTGTTGGGGGCTGCTTTGACGCGCGGCGGGGATGGAGGCTGATTGATGCCATCAGGGCGCTGTGGCGGGAGAGAGAGAAGCGACTCGTGCCACCAGCCACACTGAAGGGAGGGAGGGAGGGAAGGACAAACAGCGTGATGTCTCGCAGCTGGCTGGCGTATTCATGTCTCACTCACTCACTCACTTACGTGGCTCTTCGGGCAGTGGTGACGGGCTGCAGGAGGCTGTCATAATACTGTGCCTGCCTATCTCTAACCTTCTCAACGACGGCAGGCTCATACAGCACCTTGACGGAGGTCCGCAGGCTGCCACGGCTCATCGAGCGACCCAGCAGACCAGCCTCCACGTCCCCACCCACTCTCTCCCCATCGGCGTGCTCTTGGTCATTTCCTTCACCTTCTCCCTGCAGGTTGCTGCTGCTCGGCAGGCTGATGCGTGTTCGTCGCGATGAGGTGCTGCGGATGAGCACTGCAGAGGTGTTGTTGGCCACGGGCGCTTTGGTCAGGGAGAATATGTGTCGAACGCCCCTTGTGACTCTTCGGAGCTTCTCCACTGCACACGGCACAATGAGAGCGAGGGGGATGGGAGCACGTGTCTCTTCTTACTTCCGGATGTGTGTGCGCGCTTCAGTCTCCTTCTCATGGCTAGCTTCCTCTGACAGAGACACAACGAACAATCATACAAAAATCTGTGCGGGTGCATGAGCGTGCTGTTCGCTCACTCTTCTGCGGTGCTCTCTGTAGGCCCGCTGGATGAGCAGGGCAGCCCTCAGGCGAAAGAAGCCTGGGGAAGCGTGAGAAAGAAATGGAGTGATTTGTTGGTCGTCTGTGGATCATTTGCTGACCAGTCCTTTGGCCGTGCTGGAAGTAGTGTCGCAAATAAAGGCGTTGGATGGCGCAGGCCGCCCTGTACTCATTGTCCCGCTTCAGCTTCTCGAACGGCTGCAGAATCGGGTCAAGCCTGCATTAACCACGAGCCGTGTCATGAATGGCGTGGCGCCACCGTCTCCCGCTCACTTCTGAAATCTCATCTCCCGGAGCACTCGCTTCTTATGGGTGACGCCGAAGACAGCCTATAGACCAACATGAACCAAAAGAGACATACATGACCGTCGAAGCGGTCACATACAGGTGCCTTCGACTTACATCTTTGATCCTTCTGTTCGCCCATTTTTCTGTGAGCTGGCGCAACATGCGATGAAACCTGAATTGAGAAGACGCAAGGGGAAGCATGAGGTGACAGTCCTTGCTTGCAAAACTTGTGGCAGACGCACCTTGGTTTCTTGTATCTGCTGTAGAAGCGCCAGTATGCGACTATCCGCCGCTGGGCGTCGTGATACCGTCTCACCACCCAGTAGTAATTGACACACCACTGCAGCCACACCCACACATACGGAGATGACACACACGTGCACATTCGTCGACAGAGACACAAGTCCAGGAGAGACACACATGCACTGGCTGACCCTAAAAGTGCGCCATCTGCTCTGAATGCGGAGTGCCGCCGCCTGCCGACGACGATACTCCTAATAGAAGCACAGAGCGTCGCACTGTGCACGTGTTAGCATGTACACATTACCTTGATTTCGAGGCATCTCAGCAATTTCGGTGTGGAGCAGTCGTGGAATCTGTCCCACTCATCGTCACACAGACCTGCAGCGCCGAAGCAGCATCTTGCAGCACATCCATCCATTCATCCGATATATTCATGAGTACCCAGCAGCTTCGCCTGCCTCTCCAGCTTTTCACGCCTCAGCAGCAGGGGCCTGACCATGCGTTTGTCGGACCACACACATCACATACAATCAGGCATCAGCTGAGATGCCTGTGTTTTGCAACTCTACGTGAGCAGTGGCTCGTTTGGCAACACGCGAGGCTTGTTTGCTGCGGAAATGTCATACATCCATCCGCCCATTGAGGAGTTGTGGCTTGTATCTCATCTCACCCAAGTGAGACACGGTGAGGTGGGAAGACGAGGCTACTGCTGAAGAGTGGGCCGTGTTGCAAAGGGCCAGTGGTTTGTGAGAGCTGCAATTCTCACCACCGTCCCTGCATACACGAAACGCACAACAATCGTTCCTGAAAGAACCACATCACTCATTCCTCGGTGCCAATCTCCTTTCCTTTGTGTTGTCAGGCGTGAGCCCCGATGGTTGTTGCGGATTGAGGAGGGGTTGCCTAGTGGCAGAGCCTTCCTCGAAAGATGCGCCATTTCTGAAGTCTGTCGCCGTTTTAAGGAACATAGTGCCCTAAGCCTGCGATCCTTGACGGAGAGAGCACAGGCAGTCATGGCAAGCGAAGACATCATTATGACTTGCGGTGGACCCATAAGTCCATCTGCTCTTGGAACTTGTTCATCGGCATCATCCCGATGCGTGTTGCCGTTCGAGGGTGTGCTGTTCAACCACAGTGAATGCGCGGTGGGATGCACACACAACTCGAGGCCCACACTCTGTGCTATCATGAGTTTCGGTGTCTGTTTCAGGCAGCGGGAGCCGTCGGTGACTCGCTGGAAATGGGTGGGACTCATGAGTCATTTGATTCCCGCACCAAACCTGGATGATGCTGCTGATCTGTCACATCAGGCAACCTCAGCGCCGTGCACGAGCGTCCACTGAGCTATTTGTCGAATCTTTACGTGACGCAGGCGGATGCTGCAGCGGAACTGAGAGAAGCAAAGGAGAACGGAATGACTCTCGTCGTAAGAGATCTGCCACTTCACGTCACACAACATGTGCGTGGGTTGTGGCACTCCCGCTCGTTGAACAGGTCGACACGTCTCATTGGGACATGACTGCATTGGTCAAAGACGCCCCGGCCATTGCAGAGCTCTCCCGTCGCGATGGTCTGCCCATTGTCATTGCCGTCCCGCCCCCAAAGGCCGGCAGTGAATCGGATGAGGAGACTGCCATTGCACAGGTGAGAAAGCCTTCGTTGATACATGTATTCGTATCCCTTCATGTTTGTGTGTGGTTCCAGTTGGATGTGGCTCTGCGAGTCCGTCTGGCCGAGGGGGTCGACATGTGCGCCGGAGTCATCGGCCCACTGCACGTGAGGCTTCCGAACAAGACCTCACGATTGACTCAGGAGGTACATGCGAAAGAGGAGCATCCAGCATCCAACCAAATAGATGATGGCAGCTGTGTTTTGTGCGAAATCAGGAGGAATGGCAGCTCACCGTTGCAGCCAAAGCGTCAAGTGAGCTCTACACTCGTGAAGACCGCAACTCGCCCCTCCCATCCTTCTCCGGTGCACAATTTTCAGGACGCGTCGGCGGCGCGCCGATACTGGTGGTCATCGACCATGAAAGCTGCCAATGTCACCCACAAGGGACTCCTCCCCTGGACCCTTACTATGAGCACATGTGGACAACTGTCTGGGAAGCTCAAAAGAAGGACGGAGAGGGGGAGGGAAACCCACAGCCTCGGGTAGCAGTCGTCAATCCATGTCGCCACCGCGACGACCTCTCGGGGGCCAAGCTGCTGCTGAGAAAAGGGTGCTGCGTTGGTAAGAAGCAAGACGACGGGAGGCGTGGGCAGGCAGCCGACATTCTCTCGCGTGTTGAGCTGGTCGGTTGTTTCAGGCCTGACGTGCAGTGGCTATGACTATAGTGTCGTGGAACAGCGGTGGCCTGGCAAAGCACCGGTACGCAAACGAGTGCAGTGAGTGAGGATGTCCACGGATGGGCCCGCCTGTGGGTGTGCTGTCCTGTCTGCAGCTGCGGAGTCCCGATGACGCCCTCCGTGTGATGGAGCGATTGGTGACCGACGCAGACAGCAGAGAAGATGCAGCTGGAAGGGTAGGTACAGATGGGTGGTACTCGGGGGCGGTGGTGCTCCTGCTGAGCACCATTCGACGCTTGGGCGTGTTTTCACTGTAGCTGATGGTGTCGACTGGCGTGATGATGCGGATGCACCTGAAAAAGTGAGCACACACATCGCTGCACGCCTACCGGAGATTCCTTTTAGTCACCTCTGCTGATGTCCTTACCATGCAGGTATGGAGGGTGTGGGTACGGCTTTGCCCCGGCCCTGTTGCGCCGGCAGGTACCGCAGCGATACTCTGAGTGCCATGAAATGATCGACAGAATGACTTTCTGCAATGCCGTCGACTTCTTGGCCTACCCATGGACGCCTCCACCAGCAGCAGAAGTGTCTGTGCAGACATTCCTGTGCCACTGGTGCAGGGGAGCCTATCCTGACACACAAGTACGCTGCTGCAGTATCCATAACCTCGTGCCGAGGGGTATGGATTGCATGCCTTTCACCCTTGTTTGTCGTACAGGTTAAGTACGAGAAACTGGGCTTCACCTACTGCTCCATGCCATGCCTGTCGTCCCACCGGAAAGTCCACTTCGACCCCTTCGTCACTGGGCTCTCGATTGCATCCTGAACATGCTCCACCACAAGAGGGAGGGGAGGGCAGTACAGACAGATGCACTTGCTTGTCAAAGTCAGTTGTAGCAATTGTGTGATATACAGTAAGTGAATGGGAGGGCCTTGGGTGAGTCTGACTCTGAGTCAGTCATCTTTTTCGTCACGCATTGATTGGGTCTGCGGGAGAGGATATTGAATCCGTATGCGAGCAACATGTATATAGATAAAGCTCAAGGACGAACGTACATGAATGCGCTCACCGATCCTCGCCACCCTGGACAGCGGCCAATTGAATTCGACGGCCCCCCGGACGAAAACGAAAGAAGGCGAGATGAGCTTTCTGGCGACGCGGTCTGGGGTGTCCGCACTGCCTTACTTCCTGAGGCTGGCCTTGAGCCGGCCGGTGGGCCAGGCGAGTCTTAGACTGCTGCACTCCGACGGCAAAGCAATTGAAGGGCAGCGGCTTAGGAAGCTCTGCCAGCAGCCCGCTCACTTTCAGCGGATAGTGAGCAATGCAGGAGTCCGATGTGTGTTAGATTTGTTGGTAGGCATTGAGGTACGACGCACTCATGAGGGCGCTCAAGCCGGTAAGATCGAGACACACAGAGACCAAACATCTATGGAGACGGCTGACATTATTTGCGCGGGTGTCTGGCAGATCTCGCTGTACGGCCGGTTGCGGTAGAAGCCGATGATTGGATGCCAGGTGAGAGACAGAGAAACAGACAAGGGACAGGGGCTTTTGTTCTCATATATGCCACACCTCTGTGACATTGAAACCACTTTCAGTGCAAGTCAAGTCCACGAAAGCCGTGAGGAAAGAGGAGGGCGCTGACTTCTCACCCAGGACCTACCACTTCTTTCGCTCTGTCCAGGGCTACCCATCAATGCCAGTATGCGAAATCGAGCGCTTCTTCTCATTGGCCATTCACTACTGACTCCCTTGCCTGGGTCAGGTCATCTGCGTCTCTTTGGACGTCCCGCAGATATGGTTGTTTGATGGTTCTGTTCTGGCGAGGGGCCCCCATCATCTCAAGGTGACGGAGGGGAAGAAGTGGGACGTGTGGCCCTACAGATGCAACACCAAGAAAGGCGGGAGAGGGTCCCTCTCAGCTCGGCTCCTCGATGCATACGACAGCGATGCATTCATGAAGACAAGCCTTGAGACCATCTTGAGACAGCGGAGTTCGGCTGCGCACAGGGGCGCCTTGTCGACCGAGCGATGGCGGCCTCTGCTGGACAAGAGTGGGATTGAGCGCGTGGATGATTGGGGGATTGAGGGGTCCACCGTTGACGAAATATGGGCAACGAAGGCTGGCAAGAAATTGCACATTCAACACAAGTTGGCGTATTGGGTCAGCAAATGAAGACAAAAGAGGAGAGAAACACGCGTGTCAACCGACACATCCCGTGTGGCATCCGTGTTGTTCAGGTCGAAGGGTCGAGAGGATGTCGGGTCGTATTGAAGAAGTATAAAGCCTATCAGCCCCAGAAGAGGAGCAACTCATTTCAGCGCTATGATGAGAAAGACTTCGATGCACTTGCGCTGGCTCTCCCGCCCCTCGCACCCCACAGCTCTCTGCCCTTCCTCTCTGCAAATCGTTATCTCTATCTCATCCCCATGGCCGCCCTCGTTGAGCGCCAGATGGTGAATGGCGCCAAATGCCACAGCACGTCACCGGGCTCAGCTGTCTATCTCTATCCCCCAAACCTGCCCATCGAGCCAGCCAGGAGAGCAAACCGGTGGACAAACGCGTTCCTTATCGACCAGGACGCCACAGATAAAGGAGTCGGCCATTTGCTGTCGATCATCGATGGATTCTTCCCCTGATGTGACAGTGCAGTGTGATGGTGCAGTCAAGGTGCGGTGTGAGAGCCTACCGTGTATCTATTCCAGTCGGTCTTCCTCATCTTCGTCGTTGCCGAGTCCACCTGCCTTTTTGGTCAGATCATCGTATCTGGCCTTGAGGCTGTCTCGTTTGTGCCGCTCCTCCTCAAGGGCCTTCTCAAGGAAAAGTATGTACCTCGAGAGCGACTCCTGCTCCTTGTGGGCCTTCTCCTGACGCAGGAAGGGACGCGGCAGTGACGGACGATGGAATGCGAGTGTGTTGTGTGCATGTCTCACTTCATAAAGACTCGTCTGTTGGCGTAGTTTGGACTCTGCGTGCGCTATCTCGCTCTCTAAATGTTTGAGCTCACTGGTCAGCTCTTCCTGCATATGGAGCAAGTACTTCTCCCTGCTCTCCGCCGTCCTTCGTTGCACGTCCTGCATCAGATAGAGACACCGAGCCCTACGTCTCGCGTAATTCAGCAGAGGGGACAGCCAGCCGTCACTTACGAATTTTCTGAATCGATCGATGAAGTTTGAAGCCTCCTGAAGGGCCCAGTTTTTGAGATCTTGAGGAAGCGAGTCCCACTGTTGGTCACTGATGTCTGCCATCCTCACAAACAGCTTCCGCTTTTTCTGTCCGCCCTCCACATCGCCGGCGGCTTCGCTACCCTCGCTCTCTTCTTCTTCTCCAGCCTCACCCTCCTCGGCCAATGGCCGCGCTTCGGCGGCAAGCCCTATTAGTCTGCCGCTGCCAAGTGGTGCGCCTTCCTCTCCTCCTTCGCTGGGTGGCCAGTATAATTCGCTGTCGCAAGCCACTGTGTCGGGCAGAAGCGTTGCGCCTTCATCCGCCTTCTTGCCGGGCGACTTGGGAAGACTGTTGCCCTCGAACTTCAGGCTGCTCCTCCGTTGGCCGAGTGAGGCATCAGTGGGCTTTGCCTCCTCTTCTTCTGTCTTGGGGAGCTCTTGTCCAGCCTTGCTTTTCTTCATCATCTGAGAGAGACATGAACGAGGCGCGTACTTCCGACGGCACGGGCACTCTCCGTCTAAAACTCACTTTCCGGAATGCCTTTGCGCAATTGAGTGCATCGATCAGGTCCATAAGGCGTTGCTTGAAGCTTTTCTTTGGCCTTGTCTCGCTCTTTTCAGCTTCTTCCGCCTCAGTCTACCAAACAGATGAGAATGTGCCTTTCCCATCTGCAAGTTTGTACCCGTCTGTCTGCCTGTCTGTCTGTCTGTCTGTCTATTTACCACGCATTGCTCGAAGGACTTGTCGATGATTGCGAGAAAGATGTTAACAAAGACGAAGTAGAAGAGAACCTGCAGACCAAGACCACGTGAGCCAACTTGAATCAATTTGAATGGGCGTCGACTGCGAAATGTACCATGTATGGGAAGAAGAATATGGGGGCGATGATAGGGTCCGCCTCGTTCAGGGCCTGAACGAAACAAATCATACATCCACCGGTGAGATTCTGCTGTTGACTTTGCTCACGTGGAAGTCAAAGTATCCGATGACCATTTCGAAGCACACACGGATCGCGCCGAAGTAGGAGTGAAAACCCTGGCGAAGACGAAGACAGACAGAGGCATCATCGGCAGCCGCTTGACTGTGTCTGCCTCCACATTATGCTTACCGACCTCGTGATTGTCACCGAATGCAAGATAGCCCATGAGCACAAATCCGCCGAGGATGCAAATGAGCATGACGACAAACCAGACGATGTCGGCCATCGCCCGCCTGAGCGTCACTGTCAGGATGGACATACGGCGGTTCGTCTTGAAGAACTTGAGGATGCGGAAAAAGATGATGATCACATTGATCGACGAGAAGCGGATGAAGTCACGCAGCTCCCTTGCCGCATTGGCAAACTCGGTCAGCACTGTGCGCGTGTCCATTGTCGAAGGAAGCACAAACGACATCGACAGCTCGGAGAAGGCAAACTGAGGACAGACAGACAGACAGACAGACAACATGCTTCGCTGCTGTGGGATTGCGTGGGTGTGCGTGCGTCTCGTTTACCTGGCACCACGAGACAATTGTGATGAAGGAGAAGACAAGCGACACCGTGTCCATCACGTTGTACACGTCACTGAAATGGAGGAACAGGGTCTGCAAGACCGTCGGACGCTCGCCTTCTGGCCTGAGTTGCACAACATCCACATGTTCTGTGACATCAGTCAGCTCTTACTGCTTGGCGCGGTCGAGAAACTCCCGACGGATCTCCGTGACCTCTTGGATCAAATAATAAAGGACGAAACAGAGATACGTCACCTGCATGCATGCGTCACAATGACAACAGAGGCCGGCATGCTGCCAACGATGATGCCTCGTAATCATGTCTCTAAGATGACCTCGATGAGCATCCTGATGATATTGACAGTGTAGAACTTGTATAGCTCCAGTCGGAGGCTCTGGGTGGAGATGCTTGTATCAACCAGACCACTCGGCTGCGGAAAGGAAGGGCGTCATTCAGAAATGTCGGCGCATGTACCTCTGGCGACTTGCCTGGAAGAGAAACTCGACAACGACATAGAGAAAGGTGCCAGCATTGCCGTTGTACGCGACGAAATCCATCACCTGGCGCAATGCACACGTTAGCCAAAGAAGTGTCCTTGGGAGGTAGTCTTATCTTTTTTCTCAGCCCACAATGCTGGCTGTGTCTATTCTCGTGAAATTGGTGGCCAGACTGCTCAGAAAAGCCCGACCTGTCACGTTGTCCGAGGGGACAAAACACTCAAAGCCACCGGCATTGGCGAACGCGACACTATTATATGTGCAGCCAAGGTCCAGCAGCGCCTGGGCCTGCTTGTTCTCAGGAAAGCCGGAGTCAGGGCGGATCTGCACAGATCGTTTCGGAAGACACGACTCACACAAAGACTGACGGCCTTTCGTTCTTGAGGCGCTGACCAAGGCGTCTGTTGGCCGCTTGACTGTCTCGGCTCCACCACTGTAGGGTCGATGTGGCTTCATTTTGAAGACTCGCTGTGTCAGCCGTATTGGCAGCGGGCCGATAAGGGCGTTCCAGTTGTTGAGGACGATGGGGCGGTACGGCGTGTTGTTCTTATCGAGCGGAAGCTGTGGGAAGAGGACGTCATATTGTTTGGGAAATGTGGTGTTGTAGAGGCCCTGGGGCACGACAAACTGAGGAGGAAAAGGCAAAATTTCAGCTGTGTCATTTCAGTTCATGTGCGGTTTCGGTCTTCTGACCGCCAGCCATTCTGCCACGTGTCGACTTTCGTGGATGGTGTCGAAGCTCAGGGTTGCGTCATGTCCCTCGTACGATGGCTTGGTCAGTGCAGCCACAACAGACTCCTTGACAGCATAACTCTTGGCGACATCCAGCTGGAGCGCCACCATAGTGATATACACAGCAGAGAAGACTACGTACAGAATCTGACACACAGACAGACATGACAAGCGGGTCATGTGTGTGAGGCTTCTCATCAGAAGGTTTGTCCGCACGCTTATCTGTACCTTTGCCTGCGCCCCGTCGTCTTCCCTGTCGGTGAAAACGAATTCATTGCCTTTTGCCTTTGTCTGAGCATTCCACAGCCTGGATTGCTTTCGTTTCATAAGCTCTGGCTTCTTGGTTGTTGCCTCCGCTTCTTCCTCAGCAGCTGGCGCAGACTTGCGACGCGGCATCAGCCTCATGCATCCTGACAAGCAGACAAGAGCATCTTACCTGTGTCTCACATGGCAGTCTCAGCCCACGTTTGTACAATGGTCGGAAATACGCACTTATTCTCTCCCAAAATTTCCGCCGATCGTCCTGAGCCTTTTTCTGCTCCTTCCGCCTCTCCTCGAGAGTGTGCACGAGCTCGTCTGACGCTTGAGATAGGTACAGGTGGACGCCATGAGAAGCAATGGTAATTCGTCGACCGATGTCGCATGTCTCCGTCATGTGTACTTGTGCGTAAGATGAGTTGAGAATTGCCAGGAACATGTTGACGATGACGAAGAAGAAGAGCAGCATGTAGGGAACAAAGAAGAACACACTCATGCCCCACTCGTACTTCGATATCTCGTCAAACGCATCAACCTGCCATTAGGACGCCCATCAATGAATCACAGATGCGTTTGTATTTTGTCGGGTCGTGGCTCGCGCATACTGTCACCTGTCCAAATAGCATTGACACGCAGGTGATGATGGTTTTGGGGATCGAATTGAAGGGCTCAGCGAAGCTGCCAAAAATTGTGTTTGACATGTTCACGAAACCTGATCAAACCAAACCAAATGCTCGCGAACTCGGCGAAAATGCCCTGCTGCACATACCGACGAAGAGAATGGCCACGATCACGAGGAAGAGCAGGATCGGGCTGGCAGCCTTGCTGAGGGTGTTCGATAGTACAGTCACGCGCGGAGCCACGTCGGCCAAGTATTTGAGCATCCGGACGAAGTTGAAAAGTACAGCAATGCAGGCGGATCGCACAAAATTGCGATACCAGAATACTCGATCCTGAAATGCCTCAATGAGGGCTTCTTCCTGCAGGCAAACAGAGGCCCACGACGGTACAGGGGACATCGACATTGGCGTGCTTCTTCCCACCGACCTTGAGCATTCCTTGGCTGTCGATGTAGCGACCATAGCTGAATGTGAAGATGGATTTGTCCATCAACTGGGGCGCCAAGGACATGCAGAAGGTCAGCAGAGCCAGCGATGCCCCAAGAAGATTGACACAGTTCCAGTACTCTCGAAAATACACCGTAACACCAAGACGAGACAGCGCCACTACTTCCAACAGTGCGTGCACACACAAGAATGATGTCGGCTTGGCTGCTCTCTTCTTGCCCCTCTCCTCGCAGTTCTACCGAGGTACCAGACGGCCAGGGTGACATACAGTGTTTGCAGCACAAACGTGGCGAGCCCCGCTTCCTCAAAGCGGAGTGAATCGGTCCGAATGCTTGACTCTATAGACCCAGCAGAATACACCTTGAAGAGTGTCCTGCACCCACGAGAGATTCAACACACACGTCGCTCCTTCCTTTCCAACATTGATACCTCGTCCAGCACCAGACATCGTAATTGGGATTGTGAACAATGAAGTCGACGGTCAGCAGAGCAGTCTGGCGGTCCAGGAACCCTCGATTGTCAAACAAGTCAACCATCTGCTCCTGCCCAAGAGAGACACGGTCTGAAGAATTGGCCTGCTGACAATTCAGGGCGAGTGCTTAGTACCTGGGCCGTGCGGGTGTCGCCGGTGCGGGGTGTCGTGTGGATGACCTGCACGTAGCCCCCCGCATCGAGATAGCCTCCCGTCTTCTGATAGATGAATGGCAGACTGCCATTGGCTGAGTAGGGCTGTGTCTCGTCGAACTCAGATGAGCTGGAAGCATCCAACGAATCAAAGCGCCACACCTGAAGAGCCACAAGCATACCACGGGCAATGTCGAAACCGGGACCAACCTCTGGGTAGAAGGACGAGAAGCGATCGATTCCATTGTTCATGAGCATCATCCGGCGATGGCTGAGCCGTATTGGCCCCACAATCTCGCTTACGTCGAAAATGCTTGGGGTAATGGCATCGAATAGCGCCTCCTTGAGCCACAGCTTGATGCGGTCCAGATTCGTCACATCGCCAAAGCGAAAGACGCGAGAACCGCCGGCGTACTGCTCGAAGAACACGTGCTCCTGCAAGGCCTTCTTGACGGCAGTATTCACGTGGAAGGAAGACGAGATCTGGACCTGCAACAAGGACGCATGGATTGAAGCATCTTACGTTGATTGAATCGGCTGACATGGAAGAGGATGAACGCGAGAGCCACAGAAATAAAGAAAGCGAACAGGAAGGCGTCCAAAAGAGTCGAGCGCTTTCGTGACTGCAGCAGACACAACAAAAAGGCAACGGCCACAGTGACTGCAGAACGCCTTCCTCATTGCCGCGTACCCGCATGCGAATGGCGGCAACGACGGCCTCCTCACGCGCCTGCTGCTCCTCATAACCTGCCCCGAAGAGGCGCTGACGATAGATGTCGCGCTTCTCCAGGGGCCGCTGTCCAACTGTTGCCTCTCCAATGCCCAGCTCATCTCTCGCGGCGCAGCTTCTCCCACCTGGCTCTGTCATTTCTGTCAGACGGGCAAGACGGGGGCGCATGCATGCAATTCCGAGGCCCCCAGTCACAATTCTCCCCGCGCATGAGAATACCCACACACACTGGTCGCATCCATCAATACGTGCACCTCAATCAGCTTTGCCAGACAATACATGCTTGAAAAGCAGACTCGTGCCTGCATTGCATTTTGTCGTTTGCTGCTTTCATGAGAGACCATCAGAACTCTCCCTGCCGTTGCACGACGTGCAACCCC